AACCTCTAAAAAAATAAAAAATAAAAAAAGAATTACAAGGTCCTGAGGCTGGGAGGGTCCGGGTTGGGAGAGCAGCAAGGGGTATAAACTTTACAAAGAAAGTGATAACCTCTCCCCAGTCTCAGCTTCCCCTTCTGTAAAACAGACATGCCGATGATGTTGGTGCTGGACTCCCACAGAGTCCCCTGTGGTTCAAATCCTGGACCTGGCAGTTTGCTCTCTCACTTTCCCTCTCTGTCTCTCTATGGTCAAATTTTAAAAATAATAATTAATAAAATAAAATAAAGAACTCTTTTTTTAAAAAAAAATCCCCTAATAGGAGCCTAAGAAAGCAGGGTGTTTATTTTGCCCGTTAACCGAAGCGAAAGTCTCAGGGCCTTCTCTGATTGGCTCAGCTGGGGTCACGTGCCCATTCCTCAGCCTATGGCTCAAACCACGGGACTGGAATGCTGTGATTGGGTGGGCCCCGGTCACGTGGCCATTTCTAGAACTAGGATTGGGCCATGGCTCTGCCCAACCACATCATCTGAGGTTCTCATTCATTCATCCATGGCTTGCACATCTGGGTCCGTATCCCCCCATCCCCAGCTGCTAGTCTCGGGGAGACAGAACCAGCTAAACACTGGGAACTCTGCAAAGACAGAGCTACACAGGAGGATGGGGCTGCTGGACCCCCACGTAGTCACCCACGGTTCGAGTCCCAGACCCGGTGGCTTAAACTCACGCCGGGCACGTATGCGTGCGTGCCCAAGATCCCGAGAGGATAATGGAGGAGAAAGGATTGCGGTGTGGCCATCCCCCCTGGGGGGGTGATTTCTCGCTTTCTGTCCCTCTGTCTCTGTCTGTCTTTCTGGCGAGTACATGCGCCCTATAGCAATAAATAAATAAATAAATAATCTCTCCAAACAAAAAACTGCACAGGAAGAAAAATGTCTGGGAGGTGATGGGGGGTTGCTAGCACCCCCCATAACAGAGGCCTTGATTAACCCCAGATCCATCTTCCACTCTTCTCATGCTCTGCGCCCTGAACCCGACCGTGCCCGACCACGTGCACCCTGAAACCCCTTTTTCCTGCCTACATCCTCGCGTCTTACCTCCCACCCAGCCCCCCAAGGCGGCCCGGGGCGCCTCCTGGAATCCCACCCCGCTGCTGCGTTGAGACATGACGTCCCGTGCTTCCTCCTCTGGCCAGCAGGTGGCAGCAGCGGCGCGTGTCTCCCAGGCCGGCCCGCCCTGCCCTCTCGCAAAGCCTAAGGGCGTTTGCAAAACCGACCTTTCCGGTTTCAGACCCAGCGGAAAGCATGAAAACGCACAACCCCTAAATTATGTAGCACCAAGGGACGAGGCCTCTGGCAGCCTGAATGGCAAGAGGCTCAGGCTCCACGCTTTTGGGGGACCCTCGGTTTCCCCTGCATGTGTCTACACTTCGGAAAACAGAGGGCTTGGGCCCCCAGGCTCCAGGCTCAGGCTGCAGGGTGTTGCCACCTCCCACCTTTCAGCTCCAACAGGCATGCCCTCCCTGGAAAGCTGGTCCTCATTTAAAAAAATATTTGCGGGACCAGCAGTTAGCGTAATGGCTATGTCGCTGGACTCCCACGAAGTCAACCGCAGTTCGAGTCCTGGACCCGGTGGCTTAAACTCACTCCGGGCGTGTGTGCGTGCGTGCCCAAGATCCCGAGAGGAGAATGGAGGAGAAGAGATTGCAGCGTGACCATCCCCCTGGGGGGTGATTTCTCGCTCTCTGTCTCTCTGTCTGTCTGGCGAGCGCACGCACCCTATAGCAAAAACCTCTCCCCCCCCAAAAAAATATTTGCAATAAGAGATGTGTGTTTGGGAAGGAGTTAGGGGGTGCTCTGGGTGTGGGTGTGGGTAATAAAGCATCCCCCTGCCCCCCTCCCCAATATGGCCACCCCGCTATCCCGGCTCCATTTTCCTGTTGGGATTTTGGGCATACAAGTACATGAGCCAGGAGTGATTTTCAAGCTGCCGGGCCCAGGACTCGAACAGCGTGGTCAGCCATGTGGGATCAAGTGCCTTAACTGGTTGACCCCCAATTCGCTTTTTTTCTTTTTTTAAAGAATTATTTATTTGTTTGTTTGTTTTGAGAGATTTTTGCTATAGGGCACATGTGCTCGCCAGAAAGACAGAGAGACAGAGAGACAGAAAGCGAGAAATCACCCCCCAGGGGGGATGGCCACGCCGCAATCCCTTCTCCTCCATTCTCCTCTCGGGATCTTGGGCACGCACACACACGCGCCCGGCGTGAGTTTACCCCCCCGGTCCGGGACTCGAACTGTAGTCCACGACATGGGAGTCCAGCGACATAGCCATGACGCCAACTGCTGGTCCCATGGTTGGATGGTTTCAACACATTCACAATATTGTGCAAGTACAGCTCGGATTCTAGAACATTCTTTTCCCCCAACGGGAAACCCTGTCCCCATCAGCAGTCATTTCCCATCCCCCTCCCCCAGGCCTGGCAACCACCCATCCACTTCCTGTTTTGGTGGCTCTGCCTGTTTCGAACATGTCACGTCGGTGAAACCCTGGCTATGTGGCCTTTTATGTCGGCCTTGTTTCTTTGTGTTTTTTGTTTGTTTGTTTGTTTGTTTTGCTAGAGGGTGTGCGCGCTCACCAGAGAGAGAGAGACCGAAAGACAGAGACACCGTCCATGGGGGACGGTTACACCACAATTCTCCAACTTCCATCTGTCGGTCCTTTCGGGATTTGGGGCATGAACACATACCTAGCATTGTTTCTAAAGCCACCAGGACCGGGATTCAAACTGAGGTCAGCCTTGTGGAATCTGGTTTCCTGACCACTAGACTAGAAGACTTTTTTTTTTTTTTTTTAAAGAATTATTGATTTCATTTGATTTCTTCTTATTATTTTGGTTTCTCATTGGACCAGAGAGAGAAAGGGAAAGCGAGACAGTAAACCACCGGGTCCAGGACTCAAACCCTGGTTGGCCATGTGGGAGTCCAGCACCTTGACTACTATGCCTGCCTTTGCCCATGTTTAATTGGATTGTTGATCTTTTTTATTTGAGGTTTTGGCCCTAGGGCAGAAGCACTCACTGAAGAGAGACAGAAAGAAACAGAGACAGGGAAAGTGCAAAGTCATCCCATCCCTGGGTGGGATCCTCCATTCTCCTCTCGGGATCTTGGGCACGCACGCACACGCGCCCGGCGTGAGTTCTAAGCCACCGGGTCCGGGACGCGAACCGTGGTCGACTACATGGGAGTCCAGTGACAAAGCCATGACGCTAACTGCTGGTCCCCTGCGCTCCTCCCCTTTTAATGCTATACTGCAGGGCGACCAGCAGATGGCGCAGTGGTTATATCACTGGACTCCCATGTACTCGACCAGGATTCAAGTCTCAGACACGGAGGTTTAAACTCACGCTGGTGTGTGTGTGTGTGTGTGTGTGTGTGCGTGCGTGCGTGCCCAAAACCCCGAGAGGAGAATGGAGGAGAAGGGATTGCGGCGTGGCCATCCCCTTTGCGGGGTGTCTGGGAGATTTCTTGCTTTCTGTCTCTCTGGTGAGTGCAGGCACCCTATAACAAAAATATCTCCAAAATAAAACATAAACTGATATACAGGAGATGTGCATGCGTAAAACAGAGACAAAGACAGAGATCTCTTTTTTTTGGAGAGGTTTTTGCTATAGGGTGCGTGCACTCGCCAGACAGACAGAGAGAGACAGAGAGACAGAAAGCGAGATATCACCCCTCAAGGGGGATAGCCACGCCGCAATCCCTTCTCCTCCATTCTCCTCTCGGGATCTTGGGCAGACACGCACGCGTGCCCGGCGC